GTAGAGTGGGCAGTTGTATTAACTTACATTTTTTTCTTCCCTTTCCCCTTTCATATTCATTAGAATATCATGTAGCATCACATGCTTAGTGCGCTAGCTGGCTAGCACCTCATTGACTGTATTAGACATGAGCTGCAATTGGAAGAAGCCACCGATGCCTGGCAACTATTGTCTTGTATTGAGTAGGTCTCCCCTTACTGTAGGCTACATTCTTACAGATTTGACTATAATCGCGAAAAACACACTGTCTCGTGAATGATTCCACCCCTATTCAGGAACCAAAAAGGGAGAGAACTGAGGTGCAGCCACAAGGTCAAATTGCGTACATGTCTTTCCTTATATTGTAATCTCCGCTTGGCGTCCTCCTGGTCGCGAATATCACGTGATACTACGTGAGCCCATAGCTGGCCCTCCATTACTCCGTAAACAAAACTGAATCTTTGTTAGACTTCCACTTCTGTCATCCAGCAGTCGCGTCGCTGTATCCCAGTTCTCGAAACCGGCCACATGAAACATCGCCTCCTTCTTGCCCAATCTATCTATACGGAGTATTTGCTCGGATAATGCACGTATGACCATTTTGTGGTCGTCCTTTTGACCACGGGCGGCTAGTTGTAGTGCCTTCCCCCCCCTTCGCCGCCAAAACCTCCCTTCCCCCCCTTTTTTTTTTCTTTTTTTTTTTTTCCCCCTTCAAATAAACCCCCACCTCAAAGGATGGTACGTACATTACATACCTCGGGACCCAGAACCCAACAATTTTTCATTATTCTACCTTTGCCCATTTGACCGACCCTGCTGCAGCATTCAAGGACGAGGTGTGAGCAAGTCGCCGCACTCGACGCCTCGAGGGTTCGGCTTGCTTCTCTTCCCAAAAATACATGCAGCACGAAATAAGACTCCGCCGTAACAAAATCTTCTAGCGGGGTTAAGGTTCAGATGCTAGCCCGTGTACGGACGGAGGGGTCCGCAGCCGCTTAGTGCAGTGTCGCGTCCGATATGCACAAACATTTTGTGATACAATATCGACGCCTATTTGTTGGTTGGACATCCCAACCCAGCAGTGATGGTCTAGATATATTGGCGAGGGAATGACACTTGAGGCAACCGATGACCAAACCTCGCCGTCAATGCGCTTAGAGATCCACTACGGCACACTTCTTCCGGTTGTGGCATTTCGGATACAACCATCTCCACCCCAAACTGACTCTGAACAACAGTTTCGTCGATCCAGTTCGAATTATGATCGTTATCTCCTTGGGGTTAGTTCTAGTAGGTTTTTCTATGAAGAATACGCGTGGCTGCAGCGGGAAAATGTGTCCTGCGACGGCTCTCGAATTTCATATAGGCTTCAATCAGCTCTTTACGATCATAAATGGACGATCATAAGGCCGTTAACATCGGCCCCCGAAGAGGGGCAGGCCCGAATATGAAGCACGTCAAGACGAATACATGGTGGTCCCTTTAATGTCTGTTT